CGCCCAAGTCCGAAATCATCATACGAACCTGCTGGAACTTTCGAATCCCGATTCCGAGGTCGCTTACTCAAAAATCCAATCTTAATCAATTCTTTCAACTTAAAGCTTCCGAAATGAGAATTCTCTTTCCAAATCAACTCCGAACTTCCCGAAATTCAAGTCCGACCGTGCGCACAAGTCATAATTCCTGAAGTAAAGCTGCTCATGGCCTCAAACTGCGAAACGACGCACTAGAGTTCAAAACGATCGGTCGGGTCGTTACACCCCCCCTGCCCCTTGACAATGAGACGTTGTCCCAGATTGGAAGAGGAAAAGGTTTTTGATGGGTATATATACAATTACTCTTCTTGTAGCTCTTAAAAAGTTAAGAAGAAGGCAAGCCTCGCGCCGTCGTCGTCGCTCGCTCGCTCACTCGGCTCGGCTTCGGCTTCGGCTTCGGATTCGGATTTGAATTTGAATTTGAATTTGGTCAAATGATCGATTGATTGATTAATTTTTTGGACAAAATTTATTTGTTAACAGAAATCCAACGGAAATATTAAACGTTTTATTTCCGTTATCCGTTTTTAGTTTTTCGGTTTTTGTAACTGAAAATTAACCTCCCTCTTTAGTTCCCGTGTTATTGTTGTGTAAATAACCATTTATGTTATGGCATTTATGTTATGACCGTTTTACCTAAACAGCCATTCTGAAGAGTTGCATCTCTTCAGTTTTGAGCTCAACATTGGCTATAAATACAAGTCCATTCTCTCAGATTTTCCATACGATTTTCTGAGTTCTCCTCCTTTCTTCTGCATAGTTTTAACTTCAAAGAAAGCAACAGTAAGTGTGATTTGCGATCGAACTTTGTGTCCGCTGAAACACTGGGGTTTGAAGTACCACTACACCAGTGTGTAATTCGTTCTATCCTGGGAGGAAATAATCCACAACCTTGGGTACTAGGATGGGGTTAAATTCCTTAAGGAAACACTGTGAATTTAGTGGGCTCGGATTAACTTCTGTTTCTTTTATATTTCTGTTTATATGTTATTTTATTTTCTCCAAAATTATTTTACAAATACAGTATACTAACAAAACTAACTTAACGTAGATAATAAAGAAATGACATTGTTTGAAACGAATAGTTCCACTGCTCATCTGGTCAAGTGCCTCTTTTGCTTCCCTTAGGTCGTGGGTACAAACCCAGTTTATTTTAAAAAATTTGTGCCCTATCATCTACTAAAATATCAATCTTATATTAACCTCCAGGATGCTAGTCCTACTGTTTGCTATCTTTTTTTTTTTTTTTTTAGTGTCGAAGATTTGCAAATGGAGTGAACGATGAGCTTTTGAGTAATTATTTGATACCTTTATAGAAAATGAGATATTTGAAAATTATTTTTAATGAGGATACTAAATTAAAAAGAAAAAAGAACGAATTGAACTTAAAATATAAAAACTCATCGAGGAGAATTGTAGTAATAGTTTGAATGTTGTTTTTTTTTAATATGATTCAAACCGTATTTTTAATATGATATTGTTACGTAAATTTGTTTATTTATTCACTTTCTTAAATATCGACACCGTTTAAGAAAAATTCTGCCGACGCCCATGTGTATATCACCAAGTCCTTTTTATTGTTGTAGCTGGCAATTCATCTTATTTTTAAGATTAGAAATCTCACATTTTAAGAAGGCTTATCTATAGATGTCATTTGATGTTGACCTGATAATAAAATCAAAATTCATAAGCTAACGAAGTATATAACTTAAACTCCTAAAAACAATATATCTCTGAATTGATTTGAACAATTCAATTTAGAAGGTGGGTTTGAAAACGAATTAGTTAAAGTTGATGCATCTGATTAGTTTCCTTGAAGTTACAGACAAACTTCCAAATCACTCTTTTGCACTTAAAAAAGAAGAAGTTAATATAGAGTATGGATGAACTATGGAATCCAGCTATTATGATTAGAGATAATTTTGGAAATCGTAAAGTTAATTATGAAGAAAATGTTAGTGCTCCGACTGCTTTCACTTTCACGTATTGGAAGGTAACTAGTCGCGTTATTACTGTGGAATTACTTTTCAAATGTAATCAACGACCATGCTAAAACACATCAGCGCCTCCCAAATGAAAGCAACTAGTCAAGCGCGTAACTCCAGTTGACAAGTTAAAAATCCACTTAAAATCAATGGTGATGTCCCTTTCTCCACTTGCTACTTTAGGACAATATAACTTCGAACTATTTTAGACATTTATTTGGTTCCTCTATTATTATACATACAAAATTTATACAGAAACTTGTTCGCTGTTCCTTTTCCAATTTTTTAATTTGCCGACAAGCACCAAAAAGATCAGATTTGGCTACCAGTAAAGAGATGAAGCTAGTGGACCTGCGGCCTCTGGGATAACACATTGACTTAGTGTTGCAGGCGAGCCTGAAGCCAATTGTAGAAATCGAAATTTTAATGGATCAAGCCTATATGAAATTTGGGCTAAATTCTAAATTCAAGAGATTATTCTTGAAATTCTAGGAGTCTATTAAGATTGCTTGGAGGCTACTTTATCAAAATCCTAACTTGGAGGCTACTCTACCCTAACCACAGGTCACCCCTATAAAAAAGATCACATGTTCCCTTAAAAAAGCATCTAAAAAATGGAGATCATCTCGAATATTCCACAAACTTACCGGATACTTACAAAGAGATCAAGATGTGGCTGGATAATTCTTGATAATCAAATAATTCAAGAAGATCCACAACATACTTTCATGGATATCAGATACATCCAAGAAAGTCTGCATCATCCTGCGTTCGAGAAACACGCTGCTCCAACCCTCAAATCACGGAGATAATCAGGAGAAAAGAATCAAGAGAGAAACAAAATTGTATTCACAGTTGATTGATAAAATTACTATAATCTGTTGTGATTGTAGTTATTTTTCGTGTGTCGAAAATTCGTTGCAAACAAATTGGCACGCATAATGGGACCAGTTCTTCCCTTCATCTCTTTCTCCTGCAAATCGAAAACCAAAAGTTTCAAAATCATATGTTGCGATGTCAAGTACTTCAAGTTTTGACAAGCCTACACCTCGACAAATCTTGAAGTAAGGGCATTTGTACATATCAAAATTTTAATGAATCAAGCATATATGAAATTAGGCTAAGTCCTAAATTCAAAGCACTACTCTTGAGATTCTAGGAGTCTACTCCCTCCGGTCCACAATAAGTGTCCAATTTGCTTTTTTATTTTGGTCCAAAATAAGTGTCCATTTATATAATCAAGAAAGAATTCAATTTATTTTTACAAAATTACCCTTATGTACATATCCCTAAAAAGTTTTCTTACTCCTCACATAAATATTTAAATAAGGGTAATTTAGTCATACTAGGTATTTTTGTATAGAATTTAGTATTTTCTTAATGGGCGTGCCAAAAGCAAATTGGTCACTTATTGTGGACCGGAGGGAGTATAACATTTGCTTGGAGGCTACTCTATCAAAATCCTAGCTTGGAAGCTGCTTTACCTTAACCCTAGGTCACTCCTATAAAAAGGGTTTCATATTCCCTTTAAAAAAAATCTCAAAAATGAAGATCATCTCGAATATCCCACAAACTCATGGGATACTCACAAAGAGATCAAGATGTGGCTGGATAATTCTTGATAATCAAATACTTCAAGAAGATCCACAACATACCTTCATGGATATTAGATACACGAATCACGAAGATAATCAGGAGAAAAGAATCAAGGGAGAAATAAATTATACTCACAATTGATTGATAAAACTTTATTCTTTTGTGACTGCAGTTTTTTTTGTGTGTTAAAAATTCGTTGCAAACACCAACCTTCCAATGGAACTTGTTAAGGTGTAGCTTTAGGCCATAGATAATATTTCAGTATTTGCGAATACGGATCTTTTTTCTTCCGTACTTACTAATAATGAGGTGATTCGTGTGATGAAAACCTTCTCGCACGCTAAGGCGGATCCAGAATTTAAACCCTATAGGTTCAATTTTTAATATTTTTAATTAACCCTATTATATTTTAAAGTTATGGGTTCATATTTACTATTTTTGTGATTTTAACGAATTTTTACATATAAATTCTTACTCTGCATCAAAAGTTATGGGTTCAATCGAACCCACAAAGAGCACTTAATTAGAATGAAAGGTTTTACTGGTAGCCCTTGAGGTATTCCCTCTCAGTGCGTCCAAGATGACTGAAATAGAGACTTCATAACAAGCGGAGTGATCAAATAAGGAAAAAGGAAATCTTCAACTTGTTTCAGGCAAAACTCATGTTCAAATACAATTTCAATATGTAAATTCATTCGTTCGAATACTACAAATTCATTGAGTCACTTGTTTTTTACTCGAAAGATAACACTGCAATAAGTAAGAAAAAATAAGTCAAAGATGGGGGTCTCACCATAGCTTGACTTTACAAGCGAGAGATAGGACTACAAATCTCTTGGGGGCTGTGCTGCTTTACCCCCTAGGCTTTTCCGCCCGTACTAATAGGGAACATATTTACCCCTTTGATGGTTTGATACGATAATAATAATAGTAGACCACGTTCTTTCAAGCTTCGCGACAAAAATGCAGCTAAGGATAAAGTAGATTTCTGTTTCCTTGTCTCTTGGCATATAATGGAGATGAAGATTCCATGGGCAAATCATGGCCACTAATATTACTCGACAGTGCAATTGACAGACAAGCTGCATAATATAACTCGTGAATCAATTATTAACTGGCATCCATCTAAAGAAGGAATAGAAGATGATCAACCAATGACTGAATAATCATTCCTGATTGGAATAAAATTGATACCTACTCCTGTAGACTGGATTCGGTACCCAACTAGCCAAAGATTTCAAAATGGTCACTGACCATTGGTCAGTCCAAAATCAGAAACAGGACATAAACGCAAGGTGAAACCAAGATTCAAGACTTTGTATGCACTATTTAAGAGAAGTAATTCAGTTCGTCTTTCTCCACATGGGAACAAATTGTCTATCAATTAATGCTTTAGTATCCTTTCATGTAATAAACAAGATCACTGTAACATCATGGATAAGAAAAAAGACCACTAAACCAATACACAAACACTGGCTAAGAGTACTGTACAATTGATGAACACCAATAAGCCATCGCAAAAGAACTCCTGTACAACTGTAAGAACAATCATTACATGGTAAACCGGGGTTAATGACAAATAAGGCTGGATGTGGCATCGAACAATGAGATACCCATTCGACATTTATCAACCATACCACGAAAAGGTTCAACCCATCCTGTATGCCCAGCCATGCTTATCCAAAAATGCATGTACAGCTTCTTTTAAAGCCAAATTTGGCACCAGCTGAGATGGTTTAAGGGGTTCTCGTGTGACCGGATCAAACTTTCCCACCTAATTTGCCACATACAGGAAATATTAATAGAACATACAACAAAACCTTCGAGCTAAAGCAGTGGATGAACCAATTTTACCTTATCCAGATGGTCAAGGATCACTGCCCTTTCATATGTAACCCCACTGGGCGTGATGACAGGGTCACGAAAAATGTCAAGTGTGATCTTACAACATAAGTAATCAGGTAACTGTTAACTCTTAGCAGGTGTCAGAGGACAACACAACATACACACACAATACAGAGAAATCAGTAAGGAAATAAAGCCAAAAGACTGACCTCGGTGGGAGTATCATCTTCTGCAGCTTTCCTGAAAACCCTGCCTAAAGCGTCCAGTTGCTTTACCAGGGATGTCGATCTATCTATGAACCCTTCTATCTGAGAGCTATCACGCCCATGTCTCTCCTTGAGAGCTGACTCACAGGTTTCTCTGATGTACATATACCAGAGAAACAATGGGTAATTGCTGTGACAACCAGGAAAGTAATGCAAATTTTTAAGTTTTACAGCAAGAGTCATTACTTCAGTTTCTTAAGTTCCCAAGTGCGTCTTGAAGATTCATGCTCCCACTCCAAGTATTTTGCTTTTGCAAGCTCCTGCCAGATCTCTTCAACCATGTAACTATTTGGATTAGCACCTCTTCCAAGATCCAATGCCTACCATTGATACATTAAACAGTTATACCAAAAGATAATTAAGCAAGATGAATATCCTAGAATCGTCTTCTGAACATACTCATGATAAATACAACAGAAAATATATTCATTCAAACTTCTTTATAAAAGTCATGCTATACCCACAAAAATAAATCAATCATTTGTGCCAGAACCTTAATGGACAGTTCTGAATTTAAATGGTGATGGATTAGAAATTGGCTTCCTGTGCCAAGAAATGACTCAAGATATAAGACACTGATAGTTCGCATGATGATTAACAAACCAGGAAAACATATGCTCAAAGCGACTCGAGCATGCTTTTGAATTTTCGACTCAAAATGGAGTAATTTCATTTCCTTGGTAACGAACTATCCTGCTCATATGATGAGATGTTATCTGTAATCAGCAATCACAACTGCTAAGATAATATGACTTAAAGTATCAGAGCGTAATTTTTCTTAGCAAGAAAATTGCAGCCTCGCTCGAGTAGCCGAGCCATCCTTGGTTCAACACTTGTTATTGCACTAGTGTACCAGATCACGTCAAGATGGACCTAAGCAAAAGAGGCAGATGACAAGATTCAAGGGGCTTTCTAGTGCACTAATCGCACCAAATTTTTGCTAAGGCAGATAATAAAATCCTGAAGCGTTCCTCACACTCCTTAATCCACAATGTTAGTCAAAAAAACCTCTGTAATGATCCATATAGATCTTTAGGAATAGCTTAAGCCTTTATTGACTAAGAGAGTACTTTTCACACAATAAAAGCTTATATTCTAGATAATAAAAGCCTTTTTACTCCCTCAGACAATAAAGAAAAATACTCCCTCACACAATGAAAGCTTATATTCTAAAATAACTTATAGAGGAGTGTGGTAGCTCGCAAGGGTCATAACATTGAGATCACGGGTTCAAATTTTGTCTCCATAACTTTTTAATAGACTAGATAAATAATAACTCGCCACAAATCAAGGCCTAGGCAATGACAATCCTGTTCATGCCACCACCAACCGTATCATCAGCTACGCCTCAGCGTCCAATTAGTTGGGATCAACCATATATATCATCGCATCTACTCCAATCTACTTCAAGTACGGCTCCGTAATTTGTTTCTTCAAATTAGCTATTCTTTTTTTGATGAAGTAAGGTATTTCATTAGAAAGGAATCAAGTAGATGCATAGTTACAAAATCAAAAGACAAAAATACATAAAAACAAGAGTTTGTAAGCCCCTTTAAAATGTGTTAAGCTATAACTAGGGAGCTAACAAAGTCAAATAAGTGGTCAGTGCAAATTACAAGGGTTAACCCAGCTAAAAAGGGTAAGCAAACAATTAGCTTTACCATTGTGATTTGGAGTTGAGATTCCATCAAAACATCTTTGGTTCCTTTCATTCCACAAACTCCAAAAAAATAATTGCAAGAATCATCAATCAGATCTTCTTGATGGCCTTCTCAACTCTCCAAAGACTCCAACTTGTATGCCTCTCTTATATGCAATGGCATGACCAAGTTCAAGCCAAAAAAAAAAAAACATGTTCCACAGATCAGTGGCAACTGGGCAATGCAAAGCAGGTGACTGACATTCTCTGAGCTTTCCTTACAAATGTAACATCTGTTTACCAGTTGAAAGCCTCTTTTATTGAGATTATATTGTGTTAAGCAGGCTTCATATAAAGCAATCCAACTAAAACAATTTAGCCTTCCATATTAGTCTCCATGGCCAAGGGTCTGGGTCAAATACCTAATTCTGAGTATGAATCTGCTTGTAGCATTCTTTCACGGTAAAGATGCTCTTGTTCCCCATATTAGCTATTCTTTAAAACTAGAGATTCTCTAAACTCACTCGTATCTCCAATTTGGAAAAAAATTCTCTCCCAAATAAAGAAGCTTTCAGGAAATGTAAGAGTTGATGTAAGATAACCACAACTAAGCTTCAGTTCTAACTAATCATCCATATGGATTCTTTACTTTCATTGGGTGTTATTACTATCTAAGTTCACATAGAATGCTAGGCTGCGGGGACTCTTCACTTTTGGTTCCGCACCCGTATCAACACGACGTGGGTGTGGGATCCGTGCCGGATTTGGTCAACCGATTTTGGGGTACTATGACCAAAATCGACAGAGAAATTCGATATAAATACAGTAACTTGAAATCAAAACAAAAGCTAATGTGAAATTGAAAAAAAGGGACACCATGTATGTAGAAATTTCAATGACGGTCTTTTTTCTTTTTTCTCTTTTTGGGATTATCCTCTTGATTAATATTTTTGTCCTTCTTGGAATACCTATAAGTTTTTCACATAATGTCTCATAACTTGAATATATGTTTACTACTCTAATTTTAGATATTTGAATTATTTTTAGTCGAATCCTTGCATCCGTATCCGTAGCTGGATCCGTACCCCTGAATCTTAAAATTCAAATCTTGAAAAAATCGACCTCTAGATCCGCACCTGTATTGGATATCCGCACCCAAGTCCGAGCAACTTAGTATAAATGTAAGTCTACCTTCCCCCTTTTGGCAATTAGCACCTTCCATTGTCATAGTAGGTCTGCGTAAGACATGACCAGATCAACTTTGGAGATCTCTTGTTTTGTCTACTATGTTGTTCAATCCTCAAACAAAAGATACCACTTTTAATCTAATCTACCTGTGGCATTAAATTTATCTTTCACATCTGTATATCCATGATACTCATCTTGTAATATATTCATTCGTTCTAGTTTAATAACTGTTCTATAGAAACTAAATTTCGGCTAGGTAGGTATCCTCCAATTGCATAACACCCTCCGTTTCACCCATCCATTTTTGATTTTATGTGTTACATCTTCATAAATCATACATTTTTCTTGTAAAATTGAGCCTGAATATCTCAATTGTCTGCATCTAAATACCACAATTGGGCATGCTTTACTACAACTTTATTTTACCTGTGACAGCTAAATGCAGAGTACATTCCATCTTACTTCCACTTTATCCAGAGCTTCTATTCTCTAGAGTGCTTCCTCACACGTCCAACTTTTGGTTGACTCTTGCTCTGGTTTCATCAATCAATATAGCATCATCTTGCAAATAGGATGCACCATTACTAGAGTAGGGAAGTATGAGCTCAAGATAAATTCTTGATTTTTTTTTTTTTGAGAATGGTAACAATTATATAAATGTGTAAAAGATTTACAAGAGATTGTGAGGACACAATCAGACCCTCAAAGGGTCAGAGAGAGTACCAAAGCCTATTCTACTCGATTACATTTCTTCTAGCAAGTCTAATAAAGAGTGTACATCCTCCCTATAACTCTCTTTACACCAAAAATGGAATAACAAAAAACAATTAAGCTTAATTTTCTGGTAAGAGCTAGGTCTATCTTCAAAAATTCTGGCATTCCTTTCTTTCCAGATGGTCCACCAGATACAAGCAGGAACAATTTTCCACCATTTCTTTTGTTTAATATTTGCCCCTCCATTGTTCCAGCTACTGAGAAGAGCTGCAGTGTTTACGGGCATTGACCAAGATATACCAGCCAAATTAAGATAGAAGTGTCACAGTTGGGTAGTGACCGGGCAGTGAATAAAGAGGTGGGAAACTGATTCCCCATCTTTGCCACAAAAAACTGCATCTAGCNCCTCGCTACTAACCATGTGAAGCATTGAACTTTTGTAGGCACCCCGACCCTCCAAATTTGTTTCCATGGCCAACCTTGCGCAGGATTAGGAGTATTGTTAATGAAATGATAAGCAGATTTCACTGAAAAAGAACCTGATTTGTGACCCTCCCAGATTAAAGCATCTTCCTCTTCTGTGAGACCTTGGAAAGCTTCTAAGGTCTCCCAGAAATCTGCCACACTCTGCAACTCCCAGTCATTAAAATTCCTTCTGAAGACAATGTTCCAACCATGTATGGATTTTGCATCTGCTACTGAAATTCTTTGATTTTCAGCAATGCTATACAACTCTGGAAATTGTTCTTTCATAGGAGTGTGCCCAAACCATGTGTCACACCAGAAAAGAACTCTTCTACCGTTTCCAACCTTGAAATTGGAGTGGTCAGCAATGAAACCCCATTGCCCCCTGATTGTTTTCCAGACCCCCACTCCATGAGAGGATGCCACTGGTTTGGTGCATCAATGTCCTCCCCAGCCATACTTCTCTTGAATTACCCTTCTCCATAAAGCTGTTTCCTCCAAGTTATACCTCCATAACCATTTTGCCAGTAGACTATTATTCTGAGCCTTTAGATTTCTGACACCTAGGCCCCCTACTTGCCTCGAGCACAAAAGAGTATCCCAATTGACTAAGTGAATAGTCCTTTTCTCACTGTTACCTTGCCAAATGAAATTCCTTCTAAGGGAGTCAATCTTTTTCCTCACCTTAGTAGGAATTGGGAATAAGGACGTCACATAGGAAGGCAATGCATCTAAGACACTATTTACCAGAGTCACTCTGCCTCCGAGTGACAGATATTGACTCTTCCATCTTGACAATCTTTTTTCACTCCTTTCAATCACCCCTTGCCATATATCTTGCGACTTGTTTTTGTAGCCCAAAGGGAGGCCTAGATATTTGGTAGGGAGGTTTTCTAGTCCACATTCCAGGACATTTGCCAGGTCCTGAATGTTTGGGACTTCATTAACCTGAAAAAGCTTACTTTTTCCCCAATTCACATGCAGACCTGCCACGGCTTCGAAGGTTGTTAGAATTAGTCTGAGGTGCAGCATCTCTTCTGGATGAGTTCCCATGAAGATGATAGAGTCATCTGCATATAGAAGATGAGAGATCTCTAGGCTGCTATTCCGTCTGTCAGAAACCTTGAAATCCTTAATCCAGCCATTTGCCTTTGCAGTGTTTAACATCTGGTTCAGCCCCTCCATTGCCATCAGGAACAAAAAAGGAGATAAAGGGTCCCCTTGCCTAAGCCCCCTTTGTGAAGAGAAAAAGCCTTGGGGTGAGCCATTTATCAGGATAGAGAACTTAACAGTGGTAAGACAGAGTTAACCCATTTAGATCCAAAACCCATATCAGCCATTAGTCTTAGAAGGAAATTCCAGTTGACATGATCATATGCCTTCTCTATATCCAGCTTGCAAAGGACACCTGGCACTTTGCTTTTGAGCCTAGAATCGACCACCTCATTTGCTATCAGTGAGGCATCCATGATTTGTCTGCCTTTTATGAATGCCATTTGACGACCACCAATGAGTTTGTTGATGACAGACTTTAACCTCTCGGTTAGCACTTTGGCTATAATTTTGTAAACGCTTCCAATCAAACTAATTGGCCTGAAATCTTTAAGCTCTCTTGCTTCATTCTTTTTTGGAATGAGAGCCACGAAAGATGCATTAAAACTCTTCTCGAAGAGTTCATTAGAATGAAAATTCTTCAGATTTGACATGACATCTTCCTTGACTGTTGGCCAGCATTTCTGAAAAAAACCCATGGTGAAGCCATCGGGTCCTGGTGCTTTGTCTGACGAATAGGACTTAAGGCATTCCACCACTTCCTGCTCTTCAAACTCTCTTTGTAACCGAGTGCTCTCCTCCTCTGATAAAAAATTCCCCCTAACCAGATTGAAATTTGGTCGCCATGTTTCAGGTTCCGCGTACAGCTTCTGGTAAAAATCAATGATTTCTTTCCTGATCTCTTCCGAGTTTGTGGAAGTCTGCCCCTGTACCTCCAGCTTATCAATGTGATTGTATCTCCTATGTGCATTCGCCATTTTGTGGAAGAACTTTGTATTCTTGTCCCCTTGTTTCAGCCATAAGGTTCTGGACCTTTGTCTCCATGCAATCTCTTCACGCTTGGCTAACTCCTGAATCTCTAACATGAGGCCAGCCTTTTCCAATAACTCTCCTTCAGAGAGTCTTCT